TGTACCAGTCGGTGCACAAGGCACTCCGGTGACCTCAAGTCTAAGGATCACATGCACCACCATTCGTTAGAGGATTTGTTCCATAGACACTGGGGTTACCATCCATATGGAATCCTCTGGTGGGTCAGTCCAGTGAACTTGCTGCGGTATATCCGCCTACAACAAGCACCCATGTGTTGCACCAGGTTGTCACCAAACAACCTTGACAAGTGAGATCAGTCACTACCTTTCGACAGGGTCGTTCAACACTATGATAGCCTTACCGTATTATCTGTGCCCTTACTTCAGAATAATACTGGGGCTACGGACGTTTCTAGAATGGCCACCCACGTGCTCATAGGGTTCTCACTATCAAGATTTGAAACACTTGATACCCTCGTCACGGTTCTACCATTCTAAGGATATATATCAATACATATTACAATAATAATGATTTACGCGATATAAAATAAAATGTCTTTTATTGATTAATGAACATTATTACAAAGAGTCAATTCTACAATAATTGATTGGCTCTAGGGCATCTACTCTAACACCCATGCGTTGCACCAGGTTGTTGGAAAACAACATTGACAAGTGAGATAAGTCATTGCCTTTTGACAGGGTTGTTTAACACTATGATAGCCTTACCGTATTATCTGTGTCCTTGGTCAGAATAATACTGGGGCTATAGATATTTCTAGAATGGCCACTATATGTGATCATAGGGTTCTCACTATCAAGATTTGAAACACTTGATACCCTTGTCACGGTTCTACCATCCTAAGGACATATATCATTACATATAACTATGATTTACATGATATAGAAGAATATGTCTTTTATTGATAAATAAACATTTATTAAAGAGTCAATTTTACAATAATAGATTGGCTCTAGGGCACCTACTCCAACAGAGCAAATCTTAAGTTTGGGGGTATTTTATAATCCTATTTTTTCCTATGATTTTGCATTGAATTTCAATAGGATTTAGGATACTTCTCATATAATTTGGGCCATAATTTCTACTTACTTCTATTAATTTTTCTTTGCAGGCCTAAACGATGATTTTTAGTATAAATAATGGTTTTGAGCGTAAATTGTGTAACGTGAGCTTGGAAACTCAGAATGACTTAAATTTAGAAGCTATTGAAAGCCAAGAAGCAGAGCTACAACTTTTATGTTTTGGGTTTTCCTAATTCTTATTGGAAAAGGGTGAAAACCTGGCTTGAAGTCATGAACAATGCTTTGGGAACTGAAGAAAAACGTTTTTGGACATGCTTAATTATTTTGGCCATAACTTGTGCTGTAGACCTCTAATTAGGCTGATTCTTGAACGAGTAGAAAGATAACTTAAAGGGATACAATTAATATGTTACACTTTTCCATATTTAGATGTTATCACGCTGAAATTTGGCCCGAAATATCCTCGCCAGGGCAAGGAAAAATCTTCGTCGCGGCGAAAATGCGTCAGATGTAAACAAATAAATCGACACGTTTTGGCTTGCTAGGGCTTCATCCTTAAGTGAGAGAGGTATAAATTAGCATGAAAAAGAAGGGAAAAGGGTCTTGGTTCGTCATTTGGGAGGTAGCTCTTGGAAGGAGAAGATTATTGAAGATTTGGGCTTCAAATTAGAGAAGATTTCTCCATCTTTTGCTTGTTTTTCAATGATGAACCTTGATTCAACTTGTCTTTGTTATTTTATTTTGTTTTTAAGTATGAACTGAGTTTTTTAGCTATGGTTTGATGTAACCTTGATACAACGATTCAAATTTATATGTTTTGATTTACTTTGAGTTTTAATTTCATGACTGAGTGTTTATCTCCTTGCTTAATGACTTTTGGATGCTTGATCACCATTCAAATGTATGTTGTTCACAATGAGACTGAGACAGAGAAGTGATTTGTGATTGTGCCACTTGGGATAAATACCATAGATTGAGCTAAAACTAGAGATAGATAAACGTGATCTATGAAATATAGATAGAAGTCCATAAAGCATAAAAGACTTTGAACTATTAATCTTCATTTTGTTGGGTGCAGAAGCTTAATAGGGATAAGTAGGAAAATATAGCTTGAGAAGGTATGTTTTACAACTTAGGGAATTCAATTTTCAATCAAGGAATTAGAACTTGGGTAATAGATTCGATGATTTGGGTTAGTGTATCTAGGTGAAATCTATATCCTAGCATTTTTTTAGCATTGTTTAATTAGTTAAGTTGTTGGGTTTTGCTTCAATTTCATTTTCATTCATTTATATTTTGTTAATTTTCCATTAATCCAATTTATTGTTGCTTCAATTAGGACTTAAACAGGAGAAATTGGTGGGAATGATACTCTACTTATCACTTTATTACTTTTTACGACTAGTGCACTTGCTACATATGCATGTTTGTGAAAGCACGCATCAATTAGACAGAAAAACCCCCTTCAAGTTCTTTAATTTTTGGGTGGAGCATAAGGGTTTCTTACCTATGGTGGAGAGACTGTGGAGTATGAAAGTTGAGGGTAATCCAATGTTCAGGTTGGTCACCAAGTTAAAAGCTTTGAAAAATGATCTCAAAGAACTCAATAAAAAGGAGTTTTGGAACATTTTGAAAAGACTGAAGCTTGCTAGGGCCAATCTTAATGAAGTCCAAGAGATGATAAATGTGGATTTGGATGATGATGACCTTGTTCAATATAAGAAGGAGAAGATGGCTAAATTGATCAAACTTTCCAAGGCCAAGGAATCTTTGGCCAAGCAAAAGTCCACGATAAAATGGCTTCGGGAAGGGGATGCTAATACCTCCTATTTCTTCAAATCCATTAATGGGAGGAGAAATAGAAATAGGATTGTCTATTTGAAAGTGGGGGATGACTCTTATGTGGGGGATCAAGCAAGGATTAAGAACAAATTTGTTAGGTTTTACTCCAACCTCTTTAAGGACAAGAATGAAGGGATCTCGTAGGCGGGTATTAAAGAGCTCATAATTCCTATTATTTTGGATGATAAGGCTTGTGCAATGACAGCCGAAGTCTCTGAAGAAGAAATTAAAAGGACAATGTAAGAGATGAACAAAGAAAAAGCCCCGGGGCTAGATTGGTACGATGCTCTTTTCTTCAAGAAAGCTTAAGATATCATCGCTAGTGATGTGACTAAAGCTATACAAAACTTCTTTAAGTTTGGGAAGCTTCTTAAAGAGGTAAATTGTGCCATTATTGCATTAATTCCAAAGAATGAAAACCTTTCCTCTTGTTGTGAGTTTAGGCCAATATCATGTTGCAACACCATATACAAATGTATATCTAAGACTATGGCCAACATAATAAAAAATGTGTTGTCCAAGTTTATAGATAAAGTACAAGCAGCCTTTCTAGGAGGAAGGAAGATTGTTGATAATAATTTACTTAGCCAAGAATTGCTCCACCACTATGATAGGAAATCGGCTAAGGCTGCTAGGTGTGCAATTCAGGTTGATCTTATGAAGGCCTATGACTCGGTGAGATTGGACTTTGTCATTAAAGTTCTGGGGCTATTTGGTTTTCTTTTGAAGATCATTAAATGGAAGGGGAATGCATTAAGACTCCTAAGTGTTGTGTTTCATGCATTTTGGACATGGAAATGGAGAAAAAATGATGATCAAGATGATGGACATAAGGTAGAAAACAAACAATTAAAACATTAACTTATTAATGTAAGAAAAGGATAGAAAATTACCAACTCCTTTTGCTATTAAAAGCCTGATGTTGAAAATTGGAGTCTGGATTCTTCAAAAGAGAATGAAGAAACTCAAAATGAAATCCACCGAAGCCAAAGATGAGAGAGAGCCGAGAAAGTGAGAAAGAAAGTAAGGGAGTGCTTTTTGTTTTCAATTGTTGCAATTGCATTAAAATGGTATACTACTTAATTTATATACCATGGGCACAAAGTGTAACAATTTAAAATTAACTTGAGAATGAACACTTATGTCAAGTCCTTGGTTTTATGGTTAATTCATAATTATACCAAATTTTAATTCCATTAAATATTCTAACCCTTTACAATAAAACCAATGCACTTTTGCCCCCATCATTGAATCCAATTCAATAATAATATTTAATAAATCCTTATTACCCTTGGTTAGTGCTAGGTATCCATGGATAATCATTTCTCACCAATACATTAATTCGGATGCAACCGTTTATATCTGAACATCATTAATCTGATTAATGATATGTATTACTTTCTCTCCTTGAGCTTGGTTTTATGTGTGACCATTTTGGGTCACTATGATCTAGCCGTGGGCCCAATATCGAATTTTGATATGTTTCATTATAACTCTTTATAATCGAAACTCCCATGTAGACGTCTAGCAATGTTCCATGACCCCTAAACCATAATGAAGTGTAAACTCCAATGAACCTATTCTGATCGTATATATCGTGCAATCAAATCCCTCCGTTATCTAATCCCGATTAAGAATGGTTCATGGTATGTCAAAACCTTTAACTTAATCTTTAATCGAATTGTCAATCAATACAATGGAACTCGTCAACATGAAACTACTTTTCATCTGACATTCATTATACTCTGGCCAGAGATTTCACTTTTCCAATGTTTATTGACATTCGTCTGGGAACTCGAGATTAGACTATTTTGAGTTAAAGGATCCCATCTTGACCATCACTTGTCCTCACACATGGATAACATATGACCAAACCGGTTTTTTACACAAGACATGACTAGTCTCGTGCTTATACACCACATGTACCATATGCATCCTATGTTGAATCCAACTGTGATGTCTCAGGTCTAAGGATGAGTGGAACACTAGTATGATCCTATGATGCATCATTGACCACATCCATGTGATTCATCGTAATCGGTCATATTCAATAAACAGTTCACTAACCATTTATCCATGTTAATGCCTTAGTGACATACCTCTTATAATCACCCACACTAATACCATCACATGATATTCAATGGAGACATTCAACATGCCTACTATGCAATGTTATTGCCCAATTAACATTACTTGTGTAGGGAATTCTTTGATCATTTGATCTTCTGAAGATCCTTGTCATCTGGACTTTTCACATGCAATATTAACTATAATATAATATAATATAAATGAAGCAGAAAATCAACATGTGAAATAAGAACACTGTCTTTACTTCATAATACATTACAAGATATGATGTCCTGAAACCGACAACATGATTGGTTCCTAAGGCATACACTAACAAAACTCCCACTTGCACTAGAGCCAATTGATGTGGTATCTAATACCCATCTTCTCAAGATGATAGTCTAACTACTTCTGTGTCATCGCTTTAGTGAGTAGGTTAGCTACATTCTCCGCTAAAGGTGTTTTCTGCACCAAAATTTCTCCAGCTCCAACGAATTCTCTCAAAATGTGATATTTACGCTGAATATGTTTTGACTTCTGGTGTGCTCTTGGCTCCTTTGCCTGTGCAACAACACCAGTATTGTCACAGTATAAGGTTATCAGATAAACCATGTTTGGAACTACACCAAGTTCAGTCATGAACTTATGTATCCAGACAGCTTCCTTTGCTGCTTCTGAAGCGACAATGTATTCAGCTTCAGAAGTGGAATCGACAGTAGTCGACTGTTTTGAACTCTTCCAACTGACTGCATCTCCATTGCATGTGAAAATGAACTCGAATGTAGACTTTCTATCATCCACATCTGATTGAAAATCAGAATCAGAGTATCCATCAATTTTCAACTCTAAACCTCCATAACTTAGTATTACATCCTTAGTTCTTTTTAAGTACTTAAGGATCGTCTTAACATCTGACCAGTGTTTTTCCCCCAGTTTGGACTGATATCTACTTGTAACACTCACAACATATGCAATATCAGGCCTAGTACATAGCATAGTGTACATGAGACTACCTACGACTGAAGCATAGTATGTATATATATATATATATATATATATATATATATATATATATATATATATATAATGAAAATATACATGTTAAATGAGTATAAAATAATGGGCCTAATTTTCTTTTATGTATATAAAACTATACATAGTGTAAATAAATTTCTCAAGAAGCTCGACAGTATTGCCCAACCCTTCCGCATCTGGACGTCCCAAGCACCGCATCTCATCTACTACCGCAAAAACATTGAAAACAACGGGGTGAGCCACTAATTGCTCAGTAAGTAACCCGCTATGCTACCTTTCTATCTCTGTTGCTCATATTCTGAATTCTTTCCTTACATCACACTTCTCTTTTCTTCTCTATTCTTTTTGTTCTTTCCCTCTGTTCTTTCTCTATTCTTTTTTGTTCTATCTCTCTGTTCTTTCTCTATTCTTTTTCTGTTCTATCCTTTGTTCTTCTCTATTCTTTGTTCTCACTTACTAACATGTAAGCACAATTGTAGAAACTAATTTTGAATAATATGAATGCCAGATGCATGTGCATAAATGCATAAAGAATGCAATTTCTTTTCTGTTTTCTGTTTCTCTTCTTTCTTTTTGTGTTCTATTCTTTCTTTCTTCTTGTTCTTTCTTTCTTTTTGTGTTCTATTCTTTCTTTCTGTTCTGTTTGTTCTTCTTTCTGTGTTCTATTCTTTCTTTCTTTCTGTTTTGTTCTTTCTTTTTGTGTTTATTCTTTCTTTCATTCTATTCTTTCTTTCTTTCTTTCTTTCTATTCTGTTCTTTTTCTTTTTGTGTTCATTCTGTTCTTTCTTTCTTTTCTGTTCTTCTTCTTTCTTTCTTCTTCTATTCTTTCTTTCTTTCTATTATTTTATTTTCTTTCTATGTTCTATTCTTTCTTTCTTCTTTTCTGTTCTTTCTTTCTATGCTGATTGGACTCGGTTGGGCATGGATTGGAACCCTGGCCATGTGAGTGGGTACAGTCCTCATCTACAGCACTTCTATCAGACTGTACAACTCTTCTTTCTGTTCTGAGGCCACTCACTAAAGGCGGCTGCATGTAGGTAAATTCTTTTGGTACAATCTCATCCACATCCCTTCTACACATGTACACTTACTTCTTTCTGATTTAGGCCACTCACTGAGGCGCGTGTATGTGGGACTATTCTTCTCTGTCACTCACAGTTCCCCATTGCAAAAACCTTCTCTTCTCTTATTTTTTTTACAATTAATTCTTTTCTTTCTTTTTCTTTATTCTTTACTATCTCTCCATGTGTATGTCATGAAACTATGCTCATTCTTTGCTATTCTTTCTAATGCAATGTGAGAATGTGAAATGCATAGGCATATAATTTTTCATTAGAACTAGTATTTTCTACCAACAACATTCCCATACTTAAAATCAATCAGAATTATAGACTACAAATATTTTGAGGTAGTCTTCTGTATAGGTCATATTCAAGAAGGCATATCTCGAGTTATACCCATTGGATTGCTACGATCTTGGTCTCCTTTTAAAGCTTAGAGACAGGGCTACAACCTTTATTTTAGGTCTCAACCCAATTCATCGGTAAATACCCAAAAATCCCTCAGAAAGTCATGGCTGTGACAGGGCAACCATGGTAACATGTTTCTCTTAGGATTTTCATCAAACAAATTGCATGCATACTAAAACTCTATTTGGCTACACTTCACTTCTTTCTCAAGCCACCATATTTGGAGCAAAACTCCATTAAATCAACACTAAACCTGGCCAGGAAACTACACTCCATAAAGTCTACTCAAACTCTTTCTAAATTCAACAAAACTCTCCATCAATCACCATATAGGCAAAGTCTACATTCTCATGGCTGAATTTTAATTATCATCAAGTATCAATCTCATCAAAACTTCTAAAAAACATAAGCACATACATACATGTACAAATCTCTACAAACTTACTCAAATCAAACTTAGGGTTGGATTTACTTACCTTGATCTTGGGCAGTTCCACACTAGAAACTCTCTCTTTGGGTAGATCTCCTCTTCTTCTTAAACCCTATAACTATAAGAATTCAACACTTAAAAATTAATCTCACATCATATTGCAAGAACTCTTACCTTTGGATGCTTAGGATTGAATATCTACCAAAATCTAACCAAAAATCCTCTCAATTGCCTTGGAAATTTGATGAAGAAAATTAGAGAATTTGCAGATGAAAATGGCGTGTGAGTGTAATGGCTTCTTTCTACTAGTATTCTTTATAACATATACAATAAAACATACATACTTAGTATATGAAAATAGTTGGGCCCAAATTTTTCTTTACTTACAAAACATAATTCTTTACATATATCAAAATAACCAGTACAAAAACTTAGCAACGGTGGACAGTAATGCCAATCCTCTCCGCTTGTCGATGTCCCTCCGATCGCTGATCAACTATGTCCTGCAAAAACATGGAAAAACAACGGGGTGAGCATAAAAATGCTCAGTAAGTAAATCCCTTAACTCTTCTCCTTCTTTGGTTCTTTCCTTACTTAATTCCTTCTCTTTTCTTTCACTGTTTCTTCCTCTGTTTCTTACTCTCACTGTTCTTTTCTTTCTTCCTATTTCTCTCTGTTCTTTCTTTCTTATTTTTTCTATTTCTTTCTTTTCTCATTCTTATTCTTTCTTATTCTTATTCTTATTCTTTCTTATTCTCTCTTATTCTTATTCTTTCTTATTCTCTCTTATTCTTTCTTTTTCTCTTTTATTCCTTCTTTTCTTATTCTTTGTCGATCGGTCTCGGTCGATGTATGGATTTGGAACCATGGCCGTGTGAGTGAGTGCAGTCCTCATCTACATGCACTCTTGCGGACCATACAAATTCTTCTTTCTTCTTAGGCCACTCAATTAAGGTGGTGTGCATGTAGGAAATTCTTCTTGGTACAACCCTCATCCACATACACTCTTACGGGTCGTACAATTCTTCTTCTTCTTATGTCACTCAATTAAGATGGTGTGCATGCAAGAATTCTTCTTGGTACAACCCTCATCCACATACACTCTTACGGGTCGTACAATTCTTCTTCTTCTTATGTCACTCAATTAAGGTGGCATGTATGTGGGAATTTCTTCTTAGCACTCACGGTTCCCCATCACAACAACCTATTCTTTTCTCTTCTTTACCACTCCGTAATTCTTTAATGCTTATTCTTCCTTTCTCTTTATTCTTAGAGTGTTTTGTTCTTTCTTGCTTTATTCTTTATTCTTTATGTCTTTATTCTCTATTCTTTCTTAAATTTCTACACATACACAATTATATGCATATGGATGGCTCCTGCTTGAAATTCTTACTTGGATGCACTCATGAAATGCAAATATGCAATGTTGCATAAAATTAAGGTTTCTACTCAAAGTTATACTTCTTTTAGGCATTTCATCAAACATTACTTGTGCATAAACTAACCCTAATTTAATTATCATTCAATTTGTTTCTCAACCATCCAAAAATGAGAGAAAATCTCTCTTGTAGCATCACCATACCTACACGGCAAACACACTCCCAAAAATTCCTCCAATTCTTCCAATTTCAACCCATCATCGAACCATCACATACACTTCTCACATTCAAATATATCCAACAATAAGCATAATTCATCATCAATCTCATCTCAATTTCTCAATAACCATAACATATGCATACTTAAAAGAAATCTCTACTCACTTGAATTCTTAAACTTTAACTTGAGTTGGATTTTGAGTGGAATTTACTTACCTTATGCTTGAGTCTTCTCTACTAAGCTCTCTACTCTTGTTGGATTCAAAACTTCTTCTAACCTTTTTTGAGTCTTGATCAAAACCCTATTAAAAATCACTCAAAAGCCCTCAAAATTCTTGGAGGATTGAATAAAATTTGGGAGAAAATAGGGGAGTCGTGTGGAAGTGGAATGAAGGAAATAAGGGTTCACAACACCTTATCATCTTATTTTATAACTCACTTTCCCATTTTGCCCTTACACTTTTGTCAAAATTCCATCCTTGTCCCTTAGTCAATTACCATAATGCCCTCATTTTAGGTATTCTTTATGAATTCTACCTCTTTTCACTCCCCACTTTTTCAACTAATTGAGTGAAAGACAATTTTACCTTAATGCAAGTTTAAGGCATTTCTTTATATTCTCTTAAAATATATTTAATAAAATTAACTAAGGGCTATAAAACATAATTTAAATCATGTACCTCCATGTTGGGCGTTACAGTGAGGGGGTAGAGAATGATAGAGTTTTCAGGAATGAACTCCAAATATCTCATTTATTACTTCTACTTTCCCATTTTGCCTTTGCACTTTCTATGAAATTCCATCTATGTCCTTTAGTCAATTACAATAATGCCCTCATTTTTATTAACTTCTCCATGAAATTCTCTCTCTTTTCACTCCCCACTTTTTCAACTAATTATGAGTGAAAAAACCATTTTACCCCTAATGAAATTTTAAAGCATTTTCTTCACACTTGTTCAAGATACCTTTAACAAAATTCAACTAAGGGTATTAGGGAATACGTAAAGCTACGTACCTCGATGTGGGCGTTACACATAGGGTATACCACGCAGCCGCTCACGCTCCTGATCAGTCTTTGGACTCATATCTTTTGAAAGATGAATTCCGTGACCGCAAGGCAAAATTCCCCTTTTGGAGTCTTGCATGCCGAACCGTTTCAGCATCTTTTCTATGTACATCTTATAGGATAAGCCTATTAATCCTTTTGTTTTATCTCTATAGATACTTCCTAGGATGTAGGTCGCTTCTCCTAAGTCTTTCATGGAGAAAGTTCCGGATAACCACAACTTAACTTCAGTCATGATCCCAATGTCATTTCCCATCAATAGTATGTCATCTACATACAGTATGAGAAATATGATGACATGATCCTTTGTCCATTTATAAACACAGGGTTCATTCAGATTCTTTATAAAACCAAACGTTTTGATTATTTCATCAAACCAGATGTTCCAGCTTCTTGAA